TTGTTTGCTTTCCTATAAAATCACCTATATTTGAAGAAATTCAGTAAATCATTAATAGGGTGAACTAAAAGTCTCTGGTAAACCCAAGTCTCACCACTCTGTACTTTGTCTCACTTAAAAAAAGGTTTCAGTTTGACCTGATTTTTCCTCCCTAATTTTTCAGCTCACACTGTTGGAAATAACAGAGTCTACATAGGTTACATCATTTGTGAGGAATCTCCTCTCATCTGTCTCCAAATGAATAACAACAAACATTCAAAAAATAATTGAAGTTTTATATATATATCCCTTGGCCATTCAGGTGGTATGGCTGGCACGAGACAGGCACTTGAAACAGCTGTTGTGAATCTTAAGTATAAACTTCCACCCTTTGGCACACCACGAGGAAATTATGCATAGGAATATACCTGCTTTCCCTTGCACCAGACACAAACCACAATATTTAATACCTTGGGAGTGGATGGCAGAGAAAAGCTGTTTTCCTGGTGGACACCCAAGCTTTGTCTGACCCTCCTACTATATGGGATGAGCAGGACCAAGCAGGGCTCTAGGCCACCATGACATACACAGAGCTCCACTTCCTCCAGCATGGGAAGATACCTGCATTGTAGAGTAATCCAGGGCCCTAAAAAAACCCACCACTTCACACACATGCTTTTTCACATATTCCAACCTTATTTTTCAAAGGTAGGTATGGTAACACAGCATGCTCTCAGAGCCAAAGTCACACATGTTTTCTGTTACCCAACCTGTCCCACCTAGACCCAACTCTGATTGCTCAGCCAGATCTCCCTTGGTGGACAAACTCTCCTAGACAAAGACCATCTTCTAGCTAGAGTCTAAAGTCCTGGCTGAAATCTCTTTCCACTGCTTTTGTGAAAGTACAGAGATGCCAAATTGCTCGGAGAATCAAGGAAAGCTGATGGACATCCACAGGGCAGAACACCACCCATAGGGCTGCACATGTGCTTCAAGAGGTGGTGTAGGCTGGGTGTTTGCTTAAACTAGACCTAACTTCCAGCTTGCCATGCTTCTGTGAGCCTACATAAATAAGCTATCACAAAGACCAAGGTGGTTTGAGGCGATGCAGCAGACAGCGGTGAGCTGAACTCAGGCCTCATGGTGGTTTCCAGGATCCTCCCCAAGATCAGCTCCACTCCAACATGTACCTACAGACACACAGGTTTCACAGGCAGTAAAGCATCCAGCTCATTTAGACTGTAGCCTCAACTCCAGAAGCCAGGGGACATAGAAATTGGGTCTTCTTGTCACTGAAGCACTAGGGCAGCATCTGTTCCCCAGACTACATTATTTTTGACCTGATTGCTTCCTTCTCAACATCTATTGGAGGAGTGTATCAGCTGTGTTCCCAGAAGCTATTATTAACTGCATATATATCACACATGCTGGTGTGTAAGAGATGTGGTCGAAGGGATCAATTTTCCTGCACAGATGTGCTACACCTTTGGGCAGGTCCAGTGACTGCCAGCTTGCAGAAGGGCCGAGCTCAAACTGCAAACATGCCTAGAAGAGGCTGTGCCACTGCTTCACATCTGCAAAAAGTTCATCCAAATTGTCAGCCTGTGACCCCACACCATGGGGATGATCCTGAGCTAAACACTGCGAGGACAGCACAAGAAAACAAGCACAGATTTCACATGCTCATGCTCTCAAAGGATGTGTTGCCAAAAGCCAGCTGATGGTGAGAGGGGCAGATCAGACTCCATCAGGACACACCACGTGCAGCAACTGCCCAGCTTTGCGGCACAGAGCCTGCAATGGCACCTGCATCAGTATCAACAAGGCAGAGGCAGAACAAAACAACTTGGCTGCTGAGCAGGAAAGACCACACCAGCTTCGGGAATCCAGCTGCAGGGATGTCAACTTGATCAACTGCTCCCACCTGCTGACAGCTCTGTAGTCCAGGAAAGGCTGGCAGGGAGCTGGAAGACACCTTGCACAGGGACCAAGTATTTCTGAAACAGCAGCTACAATATGTTTTTATTAACCTAATTAAGTAGTGCACTTGGTAAAGTGTGCCCACTCAGAGCTCCACACACATTAATGCCATCAGTTGCTTCAAGCAATCACCTAGCGTTACGCCACTCACTCTTCGCCTTATTTCCACAGTAGTAATTAAAACCTCATCAACCATTTTCAATTCTAAAGTAAATCAAATGTAACAGCCTATATGGGAATTCTTGGCTCATATTCAGGCAGCCAGATGACCTTTTGAAAGGAAAAAATGAGGTTAAGCACCACAGACAAGCTTCTTCTCTAGCCTGGAGGTCAGCAGGGGCACCTGTGCCATGGGGCTGTTGCCAATCACTTACAACCCCTGGCAAACCACCAAGCACCACCCAGGGGCAGTAACACCAGCAGGGCTGTCCATCACAGGGCACAGCATGGATTTCCTCTATTTCTGTTCATTTCTTTAATGTCTCCACCCCAGAAAACCCCTTTGTCCAACGTAAAGGTGCTCTGAGGGGAACCTGGTGTGAATTCTTAGCTTTGCCCCTGCTTTTGTTGTTGCTAATGAAGTCTGAAGAGCAGATGTTCAAACACAAATACTCAATGCACACCATCCTCTGCCAACAAATCCCTCCAATGCCTAATCCAGGTAAGCATCACATCTCACCACACTGACTTTTTACAGCCTGAGGAACCTGTTCTTGTAAACAAATGCCATGAGTTCCAGAAACTTCAACTACCAATTGCATGGACCCTCAATCCCAAGTGCCAATCTCCAAACCCGGTGGGCATTCCAGGACAAGGGAGCACATCCTCTCTGGCTGCTCTGGCCCCACAGGAGAATCCTCTCCTCAGTCTTCTCCAGCATTTCCTGCCTCCACCCCTTCGAATTTCCCCAATGGCAAACAAACCCTGTTGTTCTGACAGCAAAACCATCAGGGCCATGGGCCATGGCGATATTTCAAGGAGAAAAAAGGCACTCATAAATCCTTTTTCACTCTGAAAGTCAACTGGGTTTCTCCTCTTGGAGGTACTAACACAGCAAATCTCCAGCCGCCCCCAATCCTCCACCCCCAGCACTCCTCTGAACTTTCCCCAAATCTCTCCCACATGAATCAATCTGAAGGCAAAGCTGGCAAAGCCTTCCAGCCCCCACCAACCAATTCCACCACTGTGCCATCAGGTCTTGCTTCTGTGCTGATCTCCAGGTGCACCAGGAGAGCAGCTCCCAGTACACACACTGGGGGAGAGGCTGCTCGAGTGACTGCTCGTGCTTAGCTGGAGTGAGGGCATCACCTGCACAGCTGCCTAGCTTCTCCTGGAGCAGCATGGAGTGACCCTGTTTAGCACTGTTCATTTTTCTCTAGACTTGCAAGGTTTGGAGATTGGTTCAGATAAGCATCCTCAAGCTTGCAAGCTTATCTGCACCATCTCCCAAACAGCTTTGATCTGCAGGATTTGGCTGCAGCTCTCAAAGTTATCTTGAGAAAGCTTGTTCTGGGGAGAGTTGTTCTCCTGATTAACAAGAACAAGCTTTCTTAGTGGCTTTGAGCATTTCCAGCCCTGGCTGTAATTAAGGAGTGTAGCAATGTCTGCAAACAGAGAGAAGGAAAAAGCCAACTAAGCTTCTTCTTGAAGTGAAGCTTTTCACTTGGGCTCAGTTGCCATTTCAGCTAAAACCTGAGGTCAGTTATTGCATCTTGCTTCTTTTCTCCACTTTCTGTTTATGGGTGACTTTACATCCCCCATGTCCTGTGCAGAACTCCAGGGAGGAAAGCTGGCTGGTCTGACCAGGGAAGCAAGTCACTTGATGAGCTGGGAGAACCACACAGGATAAGGGAGAAGGGTTTGTCCAGTTGAAGACAAGTTTTAAAAGGCACAATACTGAAATAAATAGCTGAAACTGTTAACCCCTCTCAAAACCTCTACTGAAGGAAACAGAAGCCACACATAAGTATGTGTTAATGGAATCAGATGCTCATTTTCCAGTTTACTTTCTGCTTGGCCAAAGCTTTAGGAAATATCCATTGGACTGAAAAGCATCAAATGTAACTCCTGCTCTTGGAAAATGGCAGCATGGATTCCCCCAGGCTCAGCCCACCATCACCCCACGCCAGATCCCTTCAGCCAGGGAGGAAGAGCAGACGATGTTAAGGCACAGGAGGAACTACAGAATTAGCAATGAAGTTTATAGTGGGGAAACTACCCTGAACATATCCTGCTGTCCTTGCATAAAAGATAAATATACGCTAAAGAAAACACTACCCAGGGAGGGGAAAGAAGTGTGAACAGCAAAAATATGTACATGTGTTTTAAATAATTTTTTTAATTGTTGAGGCAGTAATACTTGGTTCATGGAACTGCAATATACAGAGGGGTGAAATAAATAGCTTATATATATATAATATATATAATATAGCTGGTTTTAAAATATTCCCTTATCATTGGTGTACTAGGTCATCTTGTAGTCACTTGAATGTATTTAGCAGCATTCTCCAGAACTGAGCATAATGCAGGATCACAGAGCCGTGACACCTTATGTCATCAGGAAGGTTACAGAAGATCGATGCGTTGAGAACTCCACGGAAACTCAATCACTGCAGCACACACCATCTTGTCTCAGGCCAGTGGGCAGCAGGCAATAAATAGATTACTGCAAAACCGGCACTTTTGGGGGCAAGGTCTCAGTAACTTTGGGAAAGAACTTTGGTTTTCTTTGGTTTTATTTATTTACTTTTAATAATTACTTTTTTTCCCTCTGGGGATATGCTTGAAAAGCTGTCCTTTCCACTAAAGCGAAATAAGCACCTGTGTGTCATCAACAACAAGTCAATTTAAATAGAGCAGTTCATTTCATTTTTTCAAGTCACAATAAATCCCTAACAGCTTTTCCCCAGCGTTTGCCATGTAGTCTTTTATTAATTTTTTTTATTTTTATTTTTTTTAAACACAATGTACAAAAATAGAGCTTCTTCCTTATTTTTAATGTAAAAATATTCCTCTGGTGCAGTTTTTTTTTTTCTTTTTGTGGTTTCTTATTGTGACATTGTTTTGTTTATTTTTAACTGGGGTTGGTGGGTCGTATTCTCTTAGTCCTCTTGGTGACTGTTGTGTACTTGAAAGGTTTCTGTATCTCCACTTGCCCCTTTGGGTACCTCTTCATAAAATGTACATCTTGCTGGTTTTCCCGGGTCTTGGGCCCTTTCCTTGGCCTCCCCTTTTTGGTGAATCCAACATACCAGCCTGAATATTTTGCAGACATCAGTGCCGTGTAGTTGTTTTCTAAGACTTTTTCAATGAAGACACACTCCTTGCTGGTGCCATCAGGCTGAGAAAGGAAAAGGAAAAATTAATCATCCAAATCCAAGCTCAGTGACCAAAAACCAGTTTGGCAAAAATAAAATCGTCACATCTGGACCTCTTTCTTGGTTCAAACATTGTTAATAGGAGCCATAACAAGCATCAGCTGAAATAGAAATGATTTTTATTTTAAAGCATGAAAGCGTGAGGTCATAATTTCTTTTTTTTAAAATGCTCTTATCCAAGGAAAGAAAGATTTTTCAAAGACAATGGTTAAGTTTATCCAGTCCAGCTCCTTCAACTGCAAGCAAAGCAAGACATCCAGCTTTGCTTTTTTCCAT